CATGAGATCATCCATAGAAGAATCGGAGCATCTCCTACTAGTGTGTGAGTGAAATGCAAGAGTTGAAGTAACCCAAATCACAAGTATTGAACATGAGATCATCCATGGAAGAATCTGAGCATCTCCTACTAGCATATGAGTGAAAAGCAAGACCTACACTTAGACCAAATCACAAGTATTGAGCAAGAGATCATCCATGGAAGAATCGAAGCATCTCCTATTAGCATGTGAGTGAAAAGCAAGAGTTGAAGTAGACCAAATCACAAGTATTGAGCAAGAGATCATCCATGGAAGAATTGGAGCATCTCCTACTAGCATATGAGTGAAAAACAAGAGATAGAGTAGATCAAAAGGAAGGAGAAGAGGGGGGAGAAGAAGAAGGAGATGAAGGAGAAGAAGAGGAAGAACAAAGGAAGGGGAGAAAGGAAGAAGAAGAAGAGGAAGGAAGATAAGAGAAGAAGGAGGAGAAGGAAAATAAGAAGAAGAAGAAGGAGAGGAAGAAGAATGGAGAAGAGGAAGAAGAAGAAGAAGAAGAAGTAGAAGAGAGAAAGAAGAAGAAGAAGAAGGAGAAGAAGACGAAGGAGAGGAGGAAGAAGAGGAAGTAGAAGAGGAAGAAGAAGAAGTAGAAGAGGAAGAAGAAGAAGAAGAAGAAGAAGAAGAGGGAGGAGAAAAATCTTCTTCTTTCCACTCACCTTGTTGGTGCCTTGGAGATGGAGTCTCAATCTTGAGGAGGCTTATTCCTCCTTGGCTATGGCTTCCTCCTTCCTCAAGCCTCTCTCCTTCCTCTCTCACTTTCTCCCAAATTGCCACAAACTCCTATCACCATGGCTATGGAGTCCTCCCCTCTGGGAGGGCTAATGGGACTCCCTCTAGCCTCTCTCTCTTCCTCACACCTTGGGGGCTATGGCGGATCACCTCCCTAGTGCCAGCCTCACTACCACTAGCCTCTAGAGCTCCTCTCCCTAGTTCATGGCCTCCACCAAGCTCCCAAACTGGCATGGGTTCCCCTCTCCTCTCTCCAAGTGAAAGAGTGCTCCTATGAGCTCACTTGGGCAGCATGGGCACTCCTCATGCAATTGTGAATGTGGCGGACTGAATTCTCAGCTTATGTAGGCTGAAACCAGCAGTCCGGCCAGCCCATGGGCCTCCCCATGTGCCTTGAGGTGAACCGAGGTACCCCCAAGGCAAAATTCCCCCACTAGGCCCTTCCGGAGGTACCCGGGCCTCTTTTTGGCCAAGTACATGCAGTCTGAGTGGTTGGTACCAACTCAGATTGCCTCTTAGCCTCCTTTTCACCTCAAAAATACTGCCCCCTTGGGTCCTAATGCCCAAGGGGCAACTTTACTTGAGAGAAAAAGACCTAGTGGGCCTTTTTATCGATTTTTTCAATTTGTACCCCATTTTTTGTAGGCCGAGATATTTTCCCATGCAGCGGCACATTTTCAGCCTTGGATCTGGCTGAGATCCAAGGCCAACAATATTCCGTGCCACCCCTAAGTAGCCCTTGCTTCAAATTTGAGCCCCTGAGTCCAATTTTTCAATTTTTGGTGCATCTGACTCTCTTTTAAAGCCAAATGCACCGTTTTGTCTCTTTCCCTCTTTTGTTTCTTTGATAGTTGTGGCGCACAACGGTGCGCCGGTTTGCGCACGAGTAGCGCACGTAGCGCGGCGCACCGGGGCGCCTTGAACCGCAAAAATTAGGGGTCTGCCAAAAAAAAAATTCTTCGGTTTTCGTTACGAAGGCGGGCCCCCACCCCGGCAAAAATAACGATCGGGGCGCGCGAGTCCAGAAACCGGTCGCGCCCCGCCTCCGAAATGTTTTTTGTGGGAAGGGCCTGCAAATTTCGAAATTTCGAAATCGGCAAACCCTTCCCCCAGAAACATTTTCGGACAAGGGGGACAACATTCGGATCTTGGAGTGGGCACCGAAGGCGGGAAGCAGCGCCGGGAAGGGTGACGAAGGCGAGAAGCAGCGCGGGGGCGGGAGACAGACGAAGGAGGGAGGGAGGGACACGGCGGGACACCATCGCCGACATCAGCAGCAGGACACCATCAACTCAAAGTAGCGGCGGGAAGTGGCAGTGGGCAGCGGGAAACGGGCGAGCAGCCATGAAGGTGGGCGCCCACCGGCCATCTCTCTCTCTCTCTCTCTCTCTCTCTCTCTCTCTCTCTCTCACACACACACACACACACACACACA